AGTTCGGATGTAACCGAATATTTTATACTCTCGCAAAGTCAATTGGTATACTCGTTTTAGATTTCTTTGTGACCATTATGTGACTATGTTGACCGATATTTTCGGTAAAAATCAACTATAGGCAGTGGGGTCCACATATTTAGTACTTAAGGGCTTGAATAGTTTTGGTTCAATTTAGATAGTTTTTAGTCACAAGGTGGCATAACTTAAACGTATTATTCACGCAAAGTTTTACCTTGATATAATCATTGTTGCATGATTTGCATACTGGAAAGTGAAAAAATCAGATGAAATTTAAAATGGTGTAATATGGAAAATAGGCGTGGTTGTAATCCTTTTCGCACTATAGCATAGAAATATGAGAAGTATATTATGTACCGAATTTGGTTGAAGTCAAAGATATGGGGTTTCACCTAAAAGTGGGCGGAGCCACGCCCACTATCTAATTTTGAACGTTGTTTATGCGCTTTTATTACTTTTCACGTACTTTACGGTACTGTTACCGTTATATGGGGAGTGGGCGGGGTTGTCACCCGATTTCTACCCTTTTTCACACCGTCGATAGAGAGAAATAAGAGTCTTGTATTTTATTGCGGAGCTTAGTTATGGCAATTTACTTGTTTTTTATTAATGGCGTTTTGTGGGCGTGGCAGTGGTCTCACGGTACCAAGAAACATGTCTATCAAGTTTCATAAATATATCTCAATTTTTACTCAAGTTAGAGCTTGCACGGACGGACGGACGGACGGACAGAGAGTCACCCGGATTTCAAGTCGTCTCTTCATCCTGATCATTTATATATATATAACCCTATATCTAACTCGATTAGTTTTAGGTGATACAAACAACCGTTAGGTGAACAAAACTATTATACTCTGTAGCAACAAGTTGCGAGAGTATATTAAGAAAAAACGTTAATTTCGGTTGTACCGAAGCTATAATACCCTTTACAGAACTTGATTCCAATCGTTCAATTTGTAAGACAGCTATAGGATATAGTGATCTGATCTGAATAATTTCATCGGAGCTTGTGCCGTTGCTTTAGACAAGATATCTAGTCAAATGGAAAAGCTTTCGATACAACTACTTGATTCCGATTGTTCAGTTTGTATGGCAGCTATTTGCTATATTGGCCCGATATCGGCCGTTCCGACAAATGAGCAGCTTCTTAGTGAAAAAGGACAGGTGCAAAATTTTAGATCGATGGATTAAAAACTGAAGGACTAATTCACGTATATACAGACGGACAGACGGACATGGCTAAATCAACTCTACTCATCATGCTGATCACTTGTGTATATATTTTATAGGGTCTCCGACGTTTCCTTTTGGGTGTTACAAACTTCGTGGTAAACGTAATATATCCTGTTCAGGGTATAATTACTTTTAGTTCATGCGAACCGAATCGCTGAAGATTTTCATGACCACTCAATGCTTAACATCTTTCATCTCAAAATCTGTTATAAAATATGGCTGCATATCCACACGCATACAAATATGTACATACATATATTGTACTGTAAAATAATTATTGTTGGACTTTTATGATAGAAATGCAAGTTGAGAAATTAGCAACAATAACCCGAAGATTTTCACAAGCAATTCACCAGGCCTTTCAGCTCCTACCTGTAGCTTTTGAAACAGCTTGCCCTGTAGTCGTAGTCTCTACGGCTGCGCTCGAAATTTTGATTAGTACCACTCCTAAGTGGCCAGTGGCACGATACGAGCAAGCGTTTTTGACAGCATCTGTATATACATATATATATATTTATATAGATTCGCAATTCGGTCCATTATAGAAAGGTCAAAATATAGAAATGTGAATGGATGTAGTGTCTAAACATTCATATTGCTATACTACTCTACACGAAAATAGTGAATATACAAAAGTAAGAAATATGTAAATAAATAAATAATAAATTTGTTTATATTATATTTGTTGCTCTTCCGCGAAGACGTGGCATTTTTTGTAGAAATAAAATTATATGAAAAATACACAAGGACCAATGAGGATTAGTCATAAAAAAAATCATGGGCAACATTTTTGAAGCCACTATTTTCAGTGGAAAATTCCAAGGTGAAGTTGTACTTCAGCCAAGAATTCCAATGATTCCTTCAGATTCGCCGTTACCATTTAAACATTTACAATTACCCATCTGCTTGGCATTCGCGATGACTGTTAATAAGGCACAAGGTCAAACAATGATCATTTTTGGATTAGATTTAGAAAATCCGTGATTTTCTCACGGCCAATTATACGTTCCGTTCTCGGGAGTAGGAAAATCATCGAATTTTTTTGTTTATGCCTCTCAAAGGTTAACCAAAAATATTGTACATACTATGGCATTATGATAACTTAAGTTTTTGTAGATAATTAACTCTAAGAATAAATACCCGTTGTAGAATAGATTCAACCTTTTCACAATCAATTAAAACGGCTTCAAGTTTTCATTCAATACAGCTTCTACAATTAATATCTCTGAAAGCATTCTAATATATGTACATATTGACACGCTATCGATCGGTCGGATTGTGATAAATATATATGAATGACATTAGATATTGTAATAAGTTTCTAATAAAAATTTTCATCAAAACGATCTAATTGTTACAGCTAATTTCAAAGAGTTTACATTTAAGACGTGGGACAGGACAACGTCTGTCAGGCTTCTAGTATAATATATACAAATGATCAGCATTGCGAGCTGAGTTGATTTAGGCATCTCCGTCCGTCCGTCAGCAAATTCGTCCGTCTATTCGTGAACTATTCCCTCAGATTTTGAGATATCACTCTGAAATTTTGCACACGTTCTATTCAACTTCGACTTAACGAAATTTGGCATGAATTATTGGCCAACACAACGTTACAAAATCTTTAAACAATTTCCAGATTGGATTGGGTGTAATAGCATATAGCTAACACACGAACTGAAGGATCAAAATCAAGTTCATATATGGAAACTTCTTTTTTTGTGAAGAGTATTTTAGCTTCGGTACCACCGACATTAAAGGTTTTTCATGTTTTATTTAAAGATATCGTAATTTAAATACTTGTATACCTAACTATATAACGGTCCTTATTGTGTCATGCTCAAATATATTGATTCGGTCATTAAATATGCGACATAAACTTGTTTTGTTAATTTTTAAAGGGATGGAGTGGTTGTGACAAAATAGGCATGACTGCGTAGCAATACGTACATTTTGCCAATCTTTGTTTCTCGTTACTCTTTCTTTTATAAGCCGATTTTTACGCTGAACTCCATTGCGGCTGAGGAATGAAAACATATAAGGAAAACTCAATAGGAAATATAGCAATCATAAATAAGTAAGCAAAATCCAAAAAAAAATTAGCTATCACAAAATCTAGTAAGTGAATATATGAAAACAGTGCAGTAGCAATACATTGCTGCTCTGAGCTCCAAATAATGCAAGCGAGGGGACGAAATCACTGAGACATGTAAAAGGAGTTGCAAGTGAGAGAGAGCTGGTTGCAAAAGTTTTAAGTTTTCAAATTCCTTTGCCATACTGAATGACTATAGTTTAGTTGAAAGTGCCAGAGTTCTAATTCCAGCAACGTAAATTATAATTGATGTGGTTATGTGCAAAGGCAACTACACATACGTAAATATGTGCATACCTCTTCCTGAATATTGCAATGCGCTGCTGCCTGTTAAATAATGTTAGAAAATTATTTTCCATTTGTGTAAAGAACTCAACGAAGAACAATATGGTCGAAAGTTGGATATTCTCGTAATTTTAAAGAATACCAGACGTTGAAATGTTTGGGGCTGTCTGCATTTAAAGATTGGATTAAATATGTATTAGAATCAATGCAAAAAAAAATATGTCACCTTAACAAGCACTAAAAATTTTAAATGCTAGTGCAAATAATACTCATTGTTAAAAAGTTGTTGATCTTCACCTTTAATAGTAAAGTAGGAAAATATTTATTTTTTATTTCCATATCGTCATCATTTAGAATCGCTAATGATACAGACAAATAAAAACTGCAATAAAAGGGAGGATATCGTTAGTTCAATTTACTGTAACGAACAAACATCAGCACTACCGCATACATTTGCCTGTATGTATGCCTACGTCTGTATGTATCTCTTGAACGAAATATCAAATGACAGCGTCAAGGGCATTGAGGTAGGAAAACCGGCTAATTGCCAGCGGTGGCCAATTAGAAGTTTCTACAGCGAATTGTTTGTGAACACCCATCGACAGTGCTATGTCAGCCTACACTGATAACCATTTAGGGATGTAGGGAAATTAGGGGTTGGGAAATCTCATAATCATGTGTGGTGGCTAACTGCTAGCTACTTTATGAGCTACTAGTTCATGTACTACTACTACAAAGAAGATCGTTTGATTCATACATTTTTTTTTTATGAAATAGGGTCTATAAATAGCAATAACTACTATTACGAAATCAGACAACTTCAACAAGCAAGAACTTAACTGAGCTGACCATCCCATCTTCTATAAATATATATTATGTAAATCATAATGCTCAATGACAACGTTCTCAATTTTCGGTGAGCGTGCTTAAAAGAGTCATACAGCTTATGTAGTTGTTAATATTTATACATATATTGCATTATTCCTCCGAACGCATTATATAATAAATGGTACCTTGAGCACCTTCCGTCCGCCCAAGCAAACTATAACTACGGTAATAACTCAGATATCTTAATGAAGCATAGTATAACATAATATAACCTTAATATAATAGTCTGAATAAGATATACGCGGAAAAAACATTAAGCAACACCAGATTTAACACCATATACAACCGTAAATCGGGATCACAAAGCGTGAGCTTGGCATAAATTTGTTCAAAACTACTAAAGTAAGATGAAGAATTAGTTGTATATATAACTCAGTTGAATAGTTTGGTTCAGCTTATGCGTCGAATTTCATGAATTGCTTAAAATGTCAATCCAATATGAAATCGATGTAAATTTATACACATTTAACTAAATATCACTTACCGAAACAGTTACTCATACGTCGTGTACACCAATAAGTAAATTTTATTTTGATTGTGACTGATCCGAAGTGAAAGTTATTCATAGTTACGAAAAATGACGAATAATCCTTAAAATGTCATTTCCTTGGCAAGCTTCTGAATACTCCATGACAAAGATCCAGAGGTATCCTGTTAGGAAGAGAATAAAAGTTAAGTAAATTTTTGAATGTTGCCAATTAACATGAAAAGAGGAACAATTGGCAAGAGAAAACGTTAATTTCAGTTGGACCGAGGCTATAATACCCTTTTCAAATAAAAAAGTTCCCGTACAAAAACTTGTTTTTGATCGAGCAGATAGTTATGTGTGAATATTAAAAATTTAATTGATATAAATATACCAAATTATCAACAGATAACATTTTTATAAACACAATATTCAATTAGATAAAATAAAACCAAAAATATTTTATATTTATAGCCTTTATTATATCCAGTTGATAAATAATTAAAATAAAATTTGTGTTCACCAGAACTAAATACAAATAAATCTGTCCATCAATAATATATTAGACGAATGTTAATTGCTCAACGTTATACTTTTTTGTATTAATTTGTTAATACGAGAATGTCAGATGCTGCAAATCCTTTGGATCAGATAAAAAGCAACATGAAATTAAAGTTATAAATATTGCTTTGCTATAATTATTTTTAACGCTTATGGTTTAATCCATTTCAATATTACCTTGCGGTTATTGAAAATATGGTATTAAATAATATAACTATTTCTGTGCTGTGCATATTATATAAAGAGCTGACACTGAGTCAATATGGATATACATTTAATAATAATTTTATACATTTATCCAGCTTATTTTTTTTTCTATACTTCATGGAAATTTATATGAATTTAAAAAATGTACAATCGTAATTCCAAAACTTTATTGCTACTTAATCCTTCAGTTGACTCTTTAATGCTTTTATGAAATTTTAACATGAATTGAATAAATTATATGTGGTTGCTGTTATGTGATAGTAAGACAGCATTATTTAGTAATAAGCAAATTAAAAATCACAAATAAGTTATATGTTAGACATCATAAAAATTATAATGGTGTATAAAGAATAAAAGATTTTGCAGCAAATAAATTTCTTGCATGAAACTCCATCCCTATGAAAGAGATTTCGCAAGTGATTAGGATTAGTAAATAATTCGGTTGCATCTCATGGACTACATAACTTATTATTACATAAAAATATCTTCTTCTTAGAAACTAGTAAAAAACTCAAATTTGGTCAAAATAGGTTCTGTTTTTTGCTTTGTTATGCAGATAATTTGATGTCATTTATGATTTAAAAAAAATGTCAGCCAACTTACCATCATGGCTCCGATTGCATATCCATTTACTCAAATTTTCAATGACCCGGTGCAGCATTTCGTCTGAAATATCGGCTATAGCGTGCTGAAGGTTGTCTTCTGTGATGATGATATTTTGATTAACGTAAATTTATGAATTTTTCGTTTCAGACTATGGACTTTTTCACTGACACAATTTGACACAAATCCGTAAACAAATATGGCGGCCACGGTCTGTCAAAATCACCTCCTCCCTGTTGGTATTGGAATACTCTTACGTAACATATCGTTTTATTATATAATATATATATTTAATTTTAACACAATAATAATAATTTATAGTAGGAAACAGAGGTTTTAGTGCTAACATATGTAGTGCTTATGAAGAATTTCAAGTAGATGGGCAAAACTTAAAACAAGGTTAAATCTTATACTATGTGCTAAATCACAAGGGACAATATATATACTTTCTTGTAAAATTCATGTAACCAACCCATTAAGCTGTACTGTTTTCCCCGTCAAACCTTTCAGCGGATATATCCGAAGCTATGAAACAATAAAAGTGTCAATATGTCGACAGAAATTTATTTTTTTAACATGTGTCATTTTAATGGAAAATTGCAGTTTAGCCTTCTTTTCTTTCAAATAAAGTAACAAATGAATTAATTTTGTCATACAGGAACACAAGTCAATTCATATAAAAATTTTAAAACTAACAAGCTTCCACATGTATGTCATGAATGCTTTTTTCATCAAATAAATTGACATTATAGGAATTTCCTTTCTGTCTGCTGCATTTTGTCAATTGCCTCTAGCAATCTGCAATGCTGGTTATTGTTCACACACTAGTAAGAGGATAAGTTCGAACAATATTTTTTCATTAAATTGTGTTGACTGCTGTCAATTCTTGTTGTTACTAATACTCTTACGGCTACATATGTGTTATAATTTAAATGCTGTTGACACTGATTGTCGATAGTTTCTCAGTTTTGCTCTTTTATGCTCTTACTATTACTTACAAAGAAAACTTGTGCTTGAGACAGCCCGCATTTGAATTCATTTTACGTCAAACAATATGCTTGAAATATATTTGTGTACACTAGATGTTTTCCGCTCTAAATAATACATATGCATTAGGGTGGAGCGAAAAAAAAAATTTTTTGCTTAGCCTGGGGGTAAAATCTGTATATTATAGAAAAAGAAAATTTTTGGACAAAAAACAACTCAGCTTTAAAGTAAATTTCGAGGTTTTTTGGACAAGAAAAAATTATTAATTAAAAAAGAGTTTAAATCTTTACATTTATATAAAAATTACCAAATGTGACGGTTTTTGACTCAACATTTATTTTAACGCTTAATGTTGTCGTCTAAAACTTTTCTTTAAAATTCCAATAATGACCACAAAAAATGTTTTTAAGTTGATAACTTTTAAATGTAATAAAGAGGACTCTCTACAGCTTCTAGAACACTATTCAAAAATTTTTTACGAAATAAAGATTTTAACTCGAAAATTTACTTTAGGTTTGAGTGCACCCTAATATGCATACATATATAGAAAATATTGTACAACACTAAATATTTAAAATCTTCCATAACGCATTAGAAATT